TGGTGAGTCGGCTGTTGTCCTGTGTTTGGTTATTGTAGCAGCTGCAGTGATCAGTGTTCCTGAGAGTGTTTGTGTCACTGAGCATGTGATATGCTGGTGGTTTTTGTGGAACAGAGTTTAGGTGGTCCTGTATACACGGTGAGTAAATTGCTGCTGGTCTGTCCCTGTTAGGCTGAAGAGCGGACTCCCTATGGAGTTCGTTGGGGGGTTTCTGTAGTGTGGTGTGAAAGAGGTTAGAGCAGTTGTCTCGGGGCACGTCCGAGGCTGGAGGTGGGTTGCCAGTTCATGGTTGCTTTACCGAGCCTGCGGGTTTTAGTGCGTAAGTACCACCACAAGACAGCACCTGACGACTAGGGGGGAGCTTACTTAGTCTCTGGTTAGGCAGTCAGAGGGACGGGCTGCAGTGATAGCTGTGTATGGGCTGTTCTTACTGTTAGTGGGTTAGTTAACAGATCAAAACTAGTTTCTTGTGTTTCCTGCTGACTACATATTTTGTATTCTGGTTTTTGTGATCATGGTCATGTTCTTGAGGTTTCTGGGTAGTTCAAGACTCAGTAATAAGAGCATTGCACAGCCTGTTGGGTGTCTGGGTATTGGACCCAGTTGCCTTGCAGGTGGAACCTGAAGACTGCTGCTTCACAGTGGCAGTAGGTTTTTAATGGTTCATTAGGGTAAGCAAGTTGGTAATAAAGGAGGGATGTGGTGAACAGGTGTTTGTGTGGTGACAGGCCAGTTGGTAGCTTGGCCTGTTACCTTTCAGGAACATCAGCGCTACAGCTCATGCCTTGGTTGGGTGAGCTGAGTTGTAGTTGGGTTGCCTCTTTGCGTGTCTGTCAGAGGAACCTTTAGGAGGCTATAGCTTAGCGCTTGTGGTAGTTTGGTTTGGTGTTTTCTGTTGGCTGGTAATTAGGAAAATTCCAGTTCTGGGTGTTCATTACTCGTTCATGCAGCTCATTGCATGAACTGGCCCTCCCAGGAAACCCTGCTTCCCATCATGTGCTGTACCATATCACTGTAATCTCTCTGGCCTTCCTTCCTTCTCTGCTCTCACTCTTAGATGCTTCTCCACATGTTGGAGCTGCTGGGTTGCAGAGTGGAGATTGATTGGTGGGCTGGGGAGATGCACTCAACCGGTAGTATGAAACCTGTAAATATGAAATCTGTTTGTAGTTTGTCGGTATTCCTGGTGGGAACACCGTTTTTATGGAGGGGGGTGTGACTCCCTCATGTTACGACTTTTTGAGCCGGGCCGTGACAAGTGTTGAAGCTGGACTTGCAACGTTCAATATCAATAAAACTTGAAGCAACAATGGAGGCGGGACTCTGAACGGGCACACATCACAAACTGCAGTAGTTCAATCAAAACGTCTTTATTCAAGTAACCGCGGCACTCGTTCACAGAAACCCAAAGTAGTGACATGGATTACAGCAAAAGCTCCGATACATTTAAATACAAAATATAGTAGATAAATACTTTCAAACTACGACTACAAAGACACATTTAGGTATTTTTGGACAGTAAGCAGTTGAGTCTAACGGACAAAACAGTGACATCTTCATCAAAAACTGAATATTGAACTGTCTTTGGAATAACCCCTTTATCATGACGTTAGCTGAAATATAACATGCTTTTTATGTTTTAAATGTGTATTTAGCTCCTGTTCTGCAGGAAGTCGATAAGACTCTTGTTGTAGTCCGCCACCTGTTGGGAGACGTTCTTGGCGACCGAGGCGTAGTCACTCTCCTGAGATTTAGAGGCGATGACTGATCCGCAAAGTTAAGGAAAAGAATCACTGCTGTGACCAACAGGTGGCCTTTACAGCGACCAATCGCATATCAGACCTGCGATGAGTTGTCGGCACTTTAACAAGATCAAAAACATGAAGTAAAAAGATAGACGCAGATTTCAGAAGGATACACTCTTTCATTACGAAGTTGTTCTGCTCCAAGTGTTGCCATTTCCTCTCAAGGTTAGCCAGCTAAAACATAAAGCACAGAGACAACACATGCACTTCAACAGTACTGACAAGGGGTTTTCCTGCTGTCCTGAACCACTTCTGTGACCATGACCTTTAACCCCCCATGTTCAAATAAGCACACAATTCTAGTGTCAAAATGCTAATTAGGTCATTATCTGATGAGCAGTGTGTGTGGACAGTGACTGCAGATGAATTTAAGACAATGTAGAGATGAGGCGACGCGTCAGTGCTTATTGCAGTTTTTCCTCAATTTGTCAGGTGAAAAATAATCACATAAGGTGCATAATAAATTAAATCTTTATCATAGCTGTAATGAAAACAATATGGCATGCACTTACTACACTTAAACATGTCTGCAGCTACAGTTTGTGCTGATTGGTGATGTCTTTCTAAGCAAAGTGTGAGATGCTCTGACCTGAGCGTGAGTCTCGTTTTCTTGCAGCGTCGTCTTCAGAGCTTCATATTTCTGGTTCATTTCCTCCAACAGCTGACTGAAGGAATCCCGACGCTGACTCAGCGATATGCGGTCCTCCTGCAGTCTCTGCACCAGAGCAACATACATTTGGTTAGCCAACAGTTCAACGGAATCAGATAGTTGTGTTCCATTAATCAGCAGCATTTAAAGATCCGCACTGTAAACTACAAATAAAAAAGCCCATGTAGCTCATAGCTGCATGCAGCGAACCGTTTGTCTCCATTTCTGCTGCACTTGCTACCTTTTTCTTCTCCTCTGCTGTGTGCCTCAGGGCGTCCAGGTCCCGGTAGGTGACCAGCTCAGACTCCATGGTTCTGACGCGCTCCTTCAGGGTGCTGAGCTCACCCGTGATCTTCCCCTCCAGCTGCTGCACCTTCTCCAGGTCCTGCTGCAGACGCTGGGACTCTGGGTGGTGGTGGAGTGACAGTTTGAGCACTGGCTTCTTTGGCATGTTAGGTTCATTAAAGGGGGTATTACTTTACCAGGACAAAGTGTGTGTGTGTGTGTGTGTTACTTACCAGTTGTCAGTCCTCTGGCAGTGCTCTCTGATTGGACCACCTCCGTCTCCTTACTGACCAGCACCTCCTGCATGTTCCTCAGCTCACTGGCTGTCACTGTATCCACCTGATGCAGCCTCAACATGTTCTACAAACACACACGTAGATAGACACACTTAGTCTTCTCTGTGTCTCCTCACTAGCACCTACCCTCCTCTCCTCCACCTCTCCCCATTCTTCCTCACTCTGCTGCAGTGCTCCAGCAGGGAGACGATGTTCTCCTGACTCTGTGTCATCTTGTCCTGCTCCTGAGCCCTGGACTCCTCGAATGACTCCTGGTACCCTGGAACACAGGAGGGAATGAATCTATTACTATAATATAATATAATATAATATAATATATGTGATTCTATCTGGTCATGCAGATGTATTGATGCTCCTATGTCAGGATGCGTCATGATATGAAAGGAAGCCGACTGCGCCACCTGGTGGTAGTTTCCAAAACAGCAAAGTGTGTTCCTCCACATTATACGAGTTCAATATACAGAATATGTAACCTATAATAGTAACCTCTCGTTTCTTTGCTATGACAGTACATCTTCAGTATTGATGACTGTTTCTCCGAGACTTATCATCCCCGAGGTTCTGCTGAATACACGAAAGCATCAGTAGTCATACCCACAGTAGTGACACATTATCATATCAGGCACTGAGTAAATAACGCAGTGATTATTGATGTCACTATGATCCATGTCTACTCAGGTTTGCTCATTTAAACTGTCAAATGTTCAACTTACGATCAATTTCCTCCTGTCTCCTCTTCAGCTCTTTGTATTTCTGCTGACTCTCCCCTTATGGACAGATTCAAAGAAACTATTATACATAGTTTAGCAAGCAATGATATAATTACTCAATATGATTATCAAATGCATATTATTTGGAAGCACTGTCATATACTTCACTTTGTGTGTACGAGTTTGGCAAAGACACAATGAATCACTTATTTGAATGACAGTAAATTAATCTACAGCAATTTTAGAGCGACACACTGACGCAGAAATCTCAAAACTTAATGATTACAGAGCGTCAAATGTAAATATCTGCTGGTATTATCTTTGTGTTTTGGACTGTTGGTCGGACAGAATACATCAGTGGCTTTGGTAAATCGTGATCTGCATGTTCCTCCATATCATACCAAGCAATTAATTAAGAACATAATCGTCAGATTAATGGTTAATAAAAATGATAGTTCGTGTCAGCCTTCGATACATTCAAAAAGAAAACGAGATTGACAATGAACACCTGGTTTATACAAAGTCTGCTACAAGATAAGAGATGTGACGTATTTAAAAGCGTGCATTAGGGAGGAATGGAAAGCTGAAAGCTGCGATCCAGTGTTACCCTGAGCTTCCTCTGAGTCCTGCTCCAGCTGCCGGATCTCCTCTGTGATTTGTCCCATCCTGTCCCTGATCTCTGTAAGCCTGGAGAGAGAGAGAGAGAGAGAGAGAGAGAGA